GATGATGGAGGGCCAGGCTGGGGGCTGATGATGGAGGGCCATGCTGGGGGCCGATGATGGAGGGCCAGGCTGGGGGCTGATGATGGAGGGCCATGCTGGGGGCCGATGATGGAGGGCCAGGCTGGGGGCTGATGATGGAGGGCCATGCTGGGGGCCGATGATGGAGGGCCAGGCTCGGACGCATGGAGGTTTCTTGTTTTAGTATCATATCGTTAGATTGTATTGATATAAATTGGACTTTGTTGCGTTGTAGAGTTCCGCACTCCTGAGATCTCACTGACGGCCGTCCCCCCTCAGCCCTATGAAGGAGATTCGGTGGCGTTTCACTGTCGGGTCTCTGCGTCATCCTCCTCCCCGGCTTCTCTTGGATGGTTCCGCAGGGCGGTGTCAGGGGAAAGGACGCATGTCGTGTCATTGCTGCAGGATGGTCGGCTGGAGATCGGAGCAGATTACAGGCAGAGACACAATGAGGCGCGTCTGCTGGCTGAGAAGGCGGATTCCGGGCTCTTCGTGCTCAGGATGGACGAGGTGACGCAAAGTGATGGTGGAGAATATTTCTGCCGCTACGCCGAAGGAACGCATGACTCCAATGGAGACGGGACGAATGTCACCACCGAGAGCAACGGGGTCCAGACTGATATCCGACGTCTGGGTAAGAATCTCTGCGGAGACAAATCCATTATGAGGAGCCCCCCCCATCCCTGTGCTGAGTTCCAGGGTCTGTACCCCCGCTGTGCCCCTTATGAGGGGCCCCCCCCACCCCTGTGCCCATTATGAGGAGCCCCCCCCATCCCTGTGCTGAGTTCCGGGGTCTGTACACCCGCTGTGCCCCTTATGAGGGGCCCCCCCCACCCCTGTGCCCATTATGAGGAGCCCCCCCCATCCCTGTGCTGAGTTCCGGGGTCTGTACACCCGCTGTGCCCCTTATGAGGGGCCCCCCCCACCCCTGTGCCCATTATGAGGAGCCCCCCCCATCCCTGTGCTGAGTTCCGGGGTCTGTACACCCGCTGTGCCCCTTATGAGGGGCCCCCCCCACCCCTGTGCCCATTATGAGGAGCCCCCCCCATCCCTGTGCTGAGTTCCGGGGTCTGTACACCCGCTGTGCCCCTTATGAGGGGCCCCCCCCACCCCTGTGCCCATTATGAGGAGCCCCCCCCATCCCTGTGCTGAGTTCCGGGGTCTGTACACCCGCTGTGCCCCTTATGAGGGGCCCCCCCCACCCCTGTGCCCATTATGAGGAGCCCCCCCCATCCCTGTGCTGAGTTCCGGGGTCTGTACACCCGCTGTGCCCCTTATGAGGGGCCCCCCCCACCCCTGTGCCCATTATGAGGAGCCCCCCCCATCCCTGTGCTGAGTTCCGGGGTCTGTACACCCGCTGTGCCCCTTATGAGGGGCCCCCCCCACCCCTGTGCCCATTATGAGGAGCCCCCCCCATCCCTGTGCTGAGTTCCGGGGTCTGTACACCCGCTGTGCCCCTTATGAGGGGCCCCCCCCACCCCTGTGCCCATTATGAGGAGCCCCCCCCATCCCTGTGCTGAGTTCCGGGGTCTGTACACCCGCTGTGCCCCTTATGAGGGGCCCCCCCCACCCCTGTGCCCATTATGAGGAGCCCCCCCCATCCCTGTGCTGAGTTCCGGGGTCTGTACACCCGCTGTGCCCCTTATGAGGGGCCCCCCCCACCCCTGTGCCCATTATGAGGAGCCCCCCCCATCCCTGTGCTGAGTTCCGGGGTCTGTACACCCGCTGTGCCCCTTATGAGGGGCCCCCCCCACCCCTGTGCCCATTATGAGGAGCCCCCCCCATCCCTGTGCTGAGTTCCGGGGTCTGTACACCCGCTGTGCCCCTTATGAGGGGCCCCCCCCACCCCTGTGCCCATTATGAGGAGCCCCCCCCATCCCTGTGCTGAGTTCCGGGGTCTGTACACCCGCTGTGCCCCTTATGAGGGGCCCCCCCCACCCCTGTGCCCATTATGAGGAGCCCCCCCCATCCCTGTGCTGAGTTCCGGGGTCTGTACACCCGCTGTGCCCCTTATGAGGGGCCCCCCCCACCCCTGTGCCCATTATGAGGAGCCCCCCCCATCCCTGTGCTGAGTTCCGGGGTCTGTACACCCGCTGTGCCCCTTATGAGGGGCCCCCCCCACCCCTGTGCCCATTATGAGGGGCCCCCACCATCCCCGGGTCTGTACAATGGGGGGAATGTTGGTCATTGTCTTTCTTCTCTCCGCAGACTCGACCGTCAAAGTCTCACTCATGACGCGGAACTCGAAGCCCACCTTGGGTAGCACAGCCAGTCTCTACTGCCACGCCAAAGCAGATTTCACGCTGAGGGACCGGCGGCGCCTCGTCTGGTCCTGGTTCTTTCAGCCTGAGTCTGACCGGCAGGGGCCCTTCCAGAGCCTGGTCCAGGGGCCCGGTAACGGGGAGCTGGTGTGGGGAGATTCGTATCCCAGCTTCAAGGGGAAAACGCAGATCTCTCTCTCTGCCAACAATTCCATCCTGCAGGTCCACCGAGTCCAGCGGCTGCAGCAGAGCGGAACCTATCGGTGCGCCGTCACAATCCTGGCCGCCCGCAGCGGGGTGACGCTGGCCACCGTCTCCTCCAGTGATGTCACTATGAAGGTCCAGCTGCCAGGTACGCCATATCCCTTCCACTGCCAGGTACGCCATATCCCTTCCACTGCCAGGTACGCCATATCCCTTCCACTGCCAGGTACGCCATATCCCTTCCACTGCCAGGTACGCCATATCCCTTCCACTGCCAGGTACGCCATATCCCTTCCACTGCCAGGTACGCCATATCCCTTCCACTGCCAGGTACGCCATATCCCTTCCACTGCCAGGTACGCCATATCCCTTCCGGGGGCGGGACATCCAATGAGGAGTTCCTCTACGTGTCACAGAGTCAATGACTTGGGGAAAGTATCAGGACGGGTGTTTGGCCTTCACTGGCTGCATGCTGTGTTCCATTTCAGAAGGTGTCAGCACTCCCCATATTCATATGCTGACAGGTCCTCTTTAGCATACAGAGCTGGACTCGTACAGCCCTTAGAGAACCATGATGGCTGACGCTGACCTCTCCTTCTCTTCCAGACACGAAGCTGAGACTGGACTCCACCTCCCGCGCGCTGGTACTGACCACGGGACAGGACGAGGCTGCGGTCACCTGCAAGATCTCGGAACGAACCCCCGGCACCGACCTCAGCGTCACATGGTTCTTTCGTCCGCCATCATCTGCTTCCCAGGTGGAGGTACTTAGAGTGGACCACGGGGGCGTGACCATCCAGGATCCATCATCCCGCCCCCGCTTTATGAGTCGGCAGTCCCCCGCGGACTCCTTCTCCCTGCGAATCCTCAGACCGGGCCTCGGGGACATGGGGGGCTTCCACTGCGCGGTGCAGGAATGGCTACAAGAGGAGACGGGCAACTGGATCCAAGTGGGGGAGAGAATATCCGGGGACACCCAGATCACATTCGCTGCCTCTGGTAAGATAACACGCTACGGTATATGTTGTCTCTTCTATAACAGCATGACATCATCACTGACATCCAACATACATAACTGGCTGGGAGAATAAGGTTGTCTCCTCGGTTCCTCCACCAGGGGGCGATCCGTGTCTGTGTGTTGTGTCCTCGGTTCCTCCACCAGGGGGAGATCCGTGTCTGTGTGTTGTGTCCTCGGTTCCTCCACCAGGGGGCGATCTGTGTCTGTGTGTTGTGTCCTCGGTTCCTCCACCAGGGGGCGATCTGTGTCTGTGTGTTGTGTCCTCGGTTCCTCCACCAGGGGGCGATCTGTGTCTGTGTGTTGTGTCCTCGGTTCCTCCACCAGGGGGCGATCTGTGTCTGTGTGTTGTGTCCTCGGTTCCTCCACCAGGGGGCGATCTGTGTCTGTGTAAGGTACGCCATATCCCTTCCGCTGCCAGGTACGCCATATCCCTTCCGCTGCCAGGTACGCCATATCCCTTCCACTGCCAGGTACGCCATAGCCCTTCCACTGCCAGGTACGTCATATCCCTTCCACTGCCAGGTACGCCATATCCCTTCCGGGGGCGGGACATCCAATGAGGAGTTCCTCTACATGTCACAGAGTCAATGACTTGGGGAAAGTATCAGGACGGGTGTTTGGCCTTCACTGGCTGCATGCTGTGTTCCATTTCAGAAGGTGTCAGCACTCCCCATATTCATATGCTGACAGGTCCTCTTTAGCATACAGAGCTGGACTCGTACAGCCCTTAGAGAACCATGATGGCTGACGCTGACCTCTCCTTCTCTTCCAGACACGAAGCTGAGACTGGACTCCACCTCCCGCGCGCTGGTACTGACCACGGGACAGGACGAGGCTGCGGTCACCTGCAAGATCTCGGAACGAACCCCCGGCACCGACCTCAGCGTCACATGGTTCTTTCGTCCGCCATCATCTGCTTCCCAGGTGGAGGTACTTAGAGTGGACCACGGGGGCGTGACCATCCAGGATCCATCATCCCGCCCCCGCTTTATGAGTCGGCAGTCCCCCGCGGACTCCTTCTCCCTGCGAATCCTCAGACCGGGCCTCGGGGACATGGGGGGCTTCCACTGCGCGGTGCAGGAATGGCTACAAGAGGAGACGGGCAACTGGATCCAAGTGGGGGAGAGAATATCCGGGGACACCCAGATCACATTCGCTGCCTCTGGTAAGATAACACGCTACGGTATATGTTGTCTCTTCTATAACAGCATGACATCATCACTGACATCCAACATACATAACTGGCTGGGAGAATAAGGTTGTCTCCTCGGTTCCTCCACCAGGGGGCGATCCGTGTCTGTGTGTTGTGTCCTCGGTTCCTCCACCAGGGGGAGATCCGTGTCTGTGTGTTGTGTCCTCGGTTCCTCCAGCAGGGGGCGATCTGTGTGTTGTGTCCTCGGTTCCTCCAGCAGGGGGCGATCTGTGTCTGTGTGTTGTGTCCTCGGTTCCTCCACCAGGGGGCGATCTGTGTCTGTGTGTTGTGTCCTCGGTTCCTCCACCAGGGGGCGATCTGTGTCTGTGTGTTGTGTCCTCGGTTCCTCCAGCATGGCTGTCCCCCTTCAGTCCAGGTTTATTGATGGACACACAGCGGCATCTCTTGACTCCTCCCCCATTGCTCACTGCACCTTCTTCTGTCTTCTTCCAGATCAGACCCTGAAGCTTCCTAAGCAGAACGTCAGCTCTTCCGTCAAGCTGGAGGAGGACCTGGTTCTGCCCTGCCCCCTGGAGGCGGAGCCCAGTCCTTCATCGCTCCTCTCCATCTCCTGGTTTCGGCAGGGGTGGGACTTCAGTCCTCCTCGGCTCCTGTACCGGTCCGATCGGGACGGGGTGACGGAGTACAAGGACGGACGCCTACGTATGGTGGTTCCCAGGCGAGGGAATTACAGCCTTGTTCTGCAGAGCGCCGGGCGCATGGACGGGGGCAGATACTTCTGTCGGGTGGAGGAATGGCGGCTGCAGGACGGGGAATGGAAGATGACCGCGTCTGACCAGTCCGGGTTCCTGGAGATCTCGGTCACCCTGCCTGGTATGTGGGCACTCTTACCTTCTCAGTGGGTAACAACTGGGGGGAGGACACATGGGGGGGCAGAAACTGAAATGTATGCACATGTATCCGGCAGTCAGAACCTGAGGGGCGGGTTTGGAGGCCGGGTTGGGGGCGTGTCATTGGTGTGGGAGGAGTTCTCCTTGATCATGGTTTTGTTCCTCCCCCGCAGATCGCCTGAGTCTGAACCGCACAGATTTAGCACTTTTGGTGCCACAACAGTCCACCATCACCCTCCCCTGCCAAGTGCTTGCAGTGTCCTTGCCCAGCTCTCTCCTGTCCATCTCCTGGTGGAAGGCTGGGGGCCCCGTGGCCCCGCACACGCTACTCTTCGCCGTCAACCACGCGGGGGAGTTTACTTATCCCCAGGAGAAGAAAGACAGGCTCCAGTACGAGCGTCCATCAGAGCTGACCTTCCACCTG